ATGCCAATAAGCACTGTCTGGATTCACCCCTTCCTGGCTCTAAAGAAAAACCCTGGGCATGAGGGACACTTTTATGTTCATCCTGTCCTCCTCTCCCAGGGAGATGGGGCTTGAAGGGCACTTTCTTCTCAAGGAATTAGGTCCCCATTTCCCTTTTGACTCCTCTGAGTCGCTTGGGGCCTGGAGGCAGGGAGTAAATAGCAGTCGGTTACTTTTACCAGTTGCTGATAATCTGTTGGGTTAACTGCCTGATCCAGGTGTCTGGCAATGATAACTGAGAAGACTGACAGCCCACATGTAGGCTTGTCCAGGAAGGATCACTTAGAGTCAAAGAACCATAGAATGAGGGCTGGAAGGGATCTCAGGAGGGCACGTCTAGTCCAACCCCCTGCTCAAAGCAGGACCAGCCCCAACTAGATCATCCCAGACAAGGCTTTGTCTACTTGGATTTAAAAAACCACCAAAGAAGGGGAGAGTCTACAACCTCTCTGGGTAACCTGTTCCAGGGCTCTACTAGCCTCCTGATGAGAGAGTTTTTTCTAATATCCAACCTAAACTTCCTTTCCTCCAACTTGAGCCCATTGCTCCTTGTTTTGTCCTCTGCCACCACTGAGAAGAGTCCAGCTGCATCCTCTTTGGAACAACCTGTCAGGGAGTTGAAAGCTGCTATTAAATCCCATCTCAGTCTTCTCTTCATCAGACTAAATAAACCTCCTGATGAGAGAGTTTTTTCTAATATCCAACCTAAACTTCCTTTCCTCCAACTTGAGCCCATTGCTCCTTGTTTTGTCCTCTGCCACCACTGAGAAGAGTCCAGCTGCATCCTCTTTGGAACAACCTGTCAGGGAGTTGAAAGCTGCTATTAAATCCCATCTCAGTCTTCTCTTCATCAGACTAAATAAACCCAGTTTCCTCAGCCTCTCCTTGTAAATCATGCCCCAAGCCTTTTAACCATTTTTGTTGCCATCTGCTGGACTGTCTCCAATTTAAAAGCAATGAGCGTGAAGGATAATTGTCTCCTCGTTTGTCAGGGTCAGTTAGAAACTGTATCAACTCTTGGCAGCAGGTGGCTTCTGATCTGCCGTGATTTGGCAGCATCGAGAACATGCTGTCCCCTTTGGCTCTGTCCCTTTAAGAGCCCAGCAACACAGTCTGTACAGCTTTGTGAAGTGCCCTATACTTCTGCCAGTTAACCTGGTGGGACCTTATGCTCTTAAATAATCCTGAGGAGAGGAGATGAGGACCATTGTGTTGCACTGACGTGCACTTGCATGAGGCGCTTTCCTTTTGGAAACAAGATGTTTGTTGCTGTTGCACTGTCTTGCTGCTGAGAGTACAGGGCACTGGTGACCCTCCACTGGTCCAGCCTCCACTGGTTCTTATGCACGGGTTCCTAGTTTGGGTACTCTCATCTTTTAAGCATTTTTTTAATCCAGTGTTTGGATTCAAGCCCACAATAAGTTATTTTGATATCACCTCCGAGGCAAATGGAGGAGGGGCCTCACTTGTGACATTGCTTATTCCAATCAGAGCACTGACTTGCACATGTTCCCCAGTGAACTCCTCCACCTCCCTTGGCCTGAGTCCTTCTGTTGGACAGTCTCATCTCTCCCTGTAAGAATTCCCTCCCCACGGGGCTTTGTGCGAGTTGTGGCAGGCCACGGAGCGGGGCTCTCTTGGTCTCCTCCTGGCTCTGTTCTGCTTTGAAGTCTTCAGTCTTCTCCATTATGTCATGAATCCCAGGGCTCGGATGTCTCTTCTTGTGGTTCATTCTGTGACAAAAAGGACCCTGAGCTCTTCCTCCTGACTCACCGCTAGGCAGAAAGACCGTTACCATCCAGGACTTTGCCTTTTTGTCATCACTGGAAGAGGACTCCACTGTAGCATCTGACTGCCACTTTGCATCTCTGCCAGACAGGAAACCTCTCTGCAATGTCATGGGAGCAAGGCTAGGGCTAACAGAGCCCAAGCCTGCCATTCAGATTGTCTAGAGGGCGTCTTGCCTCACTTGTGCTAGACTTCCTCCACAGCTATAGCTGAGGCCATCTCTCGGATGGAAAGCCGCGAGCAGACCACCCATCTCCCTCCAAGGGACAAAGGTGACTTGTGGGGGAAAGGCTGTCTCCAGAGCAGAACCACAATAAAAAAGAAGAGAAGCTTCCAGATTCAGAGATGCGTGTAGTGCCAAGTTTCGAATTTGTGCACCAGCTCCCAATTTACCGTGACTCTTCAGCTCCTTTTGAAGTAGGGCTAACTTTAAAATCAATATCAATAATAAACTACTGACTAAATGTTAAAAATAATTTCTATTTTCAACTTTTCCTTGTAGGTTGCCACCATGGTGTGCCAACTGTTATCCATATGTTAGCGATGGAAATAGTTGTCATCCCTGTAGTGCCAAGGACTTGGATTGAGTTGAGTCTTTCTCTTTTAGGACACTTCAGTGCACTGTGTTTGCTCACCCACTGCATTTTGATTTTTCTTCTGCCTCGATATTTAGTAAGCCAGACCTGCAGTGCCAGTCTCCTGGACCTTGTGGCATTGATGCTTATGCGATGTTCCTTATACAGAGATCTAACCAGTCTTTAACTATCCCCCACCTTGAGAGAAGTATAATAGTTTGTGCAACCACATCACAAGGCGATGTTCCAGCAACCTTAGAATCGCATAAGTGGTGCTCAGTTTTCAAAGTCCTTTGCGGGTAATGGGTATGGCAGAGCTCCCAGGTCTGTAACGAGTGCTTTGAACTTGTCAGGGATGAATGCTGGTGATTTCTCCTCCTGATGGTGCTGGAGGAGCTAAAAAGAAAACCCCAAGCAGAATGTTTGTAGGTGGTGTGTGGGGCTTGATCAATGTTCATTCCTATTTAATAGGCCTCTCCATGTGTGCTCTGAGATCATAAACAGAACTGAGTATACAGCAGCCTGGGAAACACATTCCTCACAGTGAAATGCCCCTGGTTCTTAACTTTGTAATGGCATACAACTCAGCCAGGCAGAATTGTCCGTATCCCGGGAGACTGCAGTTCTTAGTATTTTCATACTTGAAGAGTGGAGTGTATTTGGGCTTACAGCTCCTACTTCATCTATATCTTCCATGTAATTTCAATAAAATGGTGGATGTGAGGAATAGTCTTGTGCAGACAGTTTATTAGAAAGGCTGAGGACAAGAAGGGAAGTCTGAAGTATTGCAGCTGTTTTTCAGCGATTCTGTTAAAGAGTATTAGAATGAGCACTGTAATTACTTCTCTAAAGGGGGAAAGCTGTTGTTTCTGTTAACCTATCCTGAGGAGGGGAAAAGGGATGCTGTGTATTAGCAGGGTGGTACTTAGGGAATGCATAAGGAAAAGCTGTGCCTTTGCTCTTTATTTTGTAAGGTGCTCAAAATGATGAACTGTCCTGTGACAAATGTCTGCAGCTTGGTGAGAGGACACACGACTTCACTATTGCGTGTATTTGTCTTCCTGCACAGACCCTTCTAGAGACTACCACTAGCCTCCTAAACCACGATCTCCACTGGTCCCTTTGCAACCTGAGAGCCTCTGTCACCAGAGGGCTGACCCCGAAACAGGATTATTGTTGTATCTGTCTGCAGCAATACAAGAGAAGGCAAGAGACCTCTGATGAAATCATTGTCTTCAGGTAAGCATAGAGGGGGGTGGGGGGGGTGTTCAAAATAAGGCTGGGAGAAAGGGCCAATGGGAAATAAAAGATGGGAGAAACTGACTTGATTTGAAACAGGAACTCCCCTAAACTCTTATCCAGCCTCCAGACCATCTAGACCTTGGCCAAGATCAGATCTCATCATGGTAGGCTCCGTGCCAACAAAGTGTTCACTATCTATGGGTACATTCTCCCTGCAGTGAAAGGTGTGACTGTAGCTTTGCAGTAGCTTACTCCAGAGTGATAGCAGCGGAGCCCTGTGCTCCAGGTTGTCCCAAGAGCTTGTCCATTTTCTCCAGTAGCACTTTGCAGCCTGCAGAGAGAGCTCTGCATTGCCACAACTAGGCTGTTATCATACCTGAGCTAGCATGGGTATGCCTCCACCAGCCGCAGTCATGTACATTCAGGAGATCAAGCAGACAAAGAAAAGTGGAACAGAGACTGGGAAGTGCTGAAGCTTGCTACAGAAGACACAAAGCTGCCCCCGCTGTGAGGAAAGTCATTTATTTTGCTTCTGTGGCAGAATTGAAGGCTTGCCTCCTTCACTGTGTCCCAGTGCCTGCAGCCATTAGGGGAGTTGCACAGTGCTCTAGGAAATGTTTTATGCCAATACAGGTGCTATAGACAGAGTCCTATGCCAGCATGTATTTTGGCAAAGTATTTCTACCCTTCTCTGAAGCTGGAATCTGCCTGTGAAAGGCATAAATAAAGGAGAGAAACAATCGTGTCTTTGTTGTTGGAGTTCATAGGATTGTAGGAAAGTAGAGCTGGAAGGGGCCTCAAGGCTGGATCCCCCCTGACTAACCCATTCCAGCCATGCTTTGTTGGCTTATACGGAGTTTATTAAGGTCCCATGTTGTCACCCATTCCTCTGGGCGCATGCACAATTCCACGAACCTGTGATGCCAGTGGAAAAGGTCAGTTTAAAAGGTCAGTGAGCCCAGAACAGCAAGCTGGAGCAGGAGGCGAGTCAGCTGGGAGGCTCTCGGTGGTGGACTGGGAAGAACAGCCTTGCAGGACTGGGGAGCACTCTAGGAAGAGGAGCTGCACAGTAACTGTTCCAGCTGGGTTTAGCTTTGAAGAAGCGAAGTTGAGGCACGGCCACATCAGGGCACTGGTACACTGATCTGTCCCTTGAGTCCCAAAGAGTTTAAACCCATCAATCCCCTGGGCATAGAGTGTTGGCATACTTGGTTGGACTGCCTCCATTTTAAGCCCTTTCCAGATGTTTATTCCTGCCCCAGTCCCTAGCATCCAATCCCACCCGCAGAGAGTGCTGATACCAGGGGAAGGGGCCTCATTGTTCCTAGAAATGCCTGAAGTGGGCAAAGAACAATCTTTAACTTAATTAGACTACAAACGCCTGGCATATACAAGGCTATTCAGCTGAGGAGCACACCTAGTTATCAGAGTGGTTCAGCCAGCAGGCTGGTTAACCCTTCTAAGACTGCCTGTGGCAGTGATAGTACAACTGCTGTGGAATATGTTGAGCAGAGGCACAAACTCATCCCTATTACTTGAGGATGTAGTTCAGGTCATGCACAGAGGAGATGGCAGCCTGTTGCCTTTTAAGGGGTAATGCCTCCTAAAAAAAATGGGGGAGGACTTCAGGGTTGGATATGATAAAATATACTAAATGGGAGTCTTGTCTTTGAACCAACAAGTGGTGTGGAAAACCAGTACTGAGTCCAGAGTTGTTTGCTACCTACCAGAAGCCTTGGTCCTTCTCTGCAGAAAGGACTTGTAAGTGTTAGCCTGGATGCACAGAGCCAGGAATTGTCTAGGACATTCTGTTACCTGCCTCTTCCCATCATCCTATTCAGAAAGAGTTTTGGTAGTAGGATTTTCCCAAGTGTTCAGCAGTTACCTGCCCACTCCCACTGCCTTCAGTGGCAGCATGTGCCTTGTGCATAATGAGAACATCCAAAACATCCAGAATTGTGAACAGTTCAGCTCATAATTTCTCATTATGGAATATTTTTTTGGCTGCTTTCTCTGAAGCGCTGGGTTCTCTACCACTGGCAGGTAGGATATTAGTCTAGATGGACAGTTGCTTTGCCCCGAAGTGGCAGGTCCTATTGACTCTGCCCCTGTATGGATGAGGGCACCAAAACTCACCATGAGGATTATTGCATAGTAATGATTAGGTGAGTAAATTCATTCAGTTCTTCTCGGGGCTAAGTCTCAGCCAGCTAGCCCTTCATCTGTGTCTTGGTTTCCATGAGAGTCTGGTGAGGTAGTCTGAACTGCACTAGCAGGGTTGGAAGAGATATAGACATACTGCTGGGTGTTGTCATACTAAAGGACTCTACAAAGATGAATACCCAGTGTATGGTCCCATCCGTGAATGGAGGGAACAACAGCCAAGAAATAGCAAGAGACTTTAGGACAGGGAGGTGCAATAGTCCAGTGCCATCCCCTAGAGTAGTGGTCCCCAACCCAGAGCTCATCTGCAAGACCCTTCAGTGTTACTTGCTGCCACAGGAAATTATTGCTTGCCACAGATATGTGTTTCCCCAGTAGATGAGGAGTGTGGTCTTTGCCCAGAAAACAAAAAAGGTTAAGGACCATTGCTGTAGCATCTCTCAGGAGGGAAAGAACAGAGCCGTGCAAGCATGACACGGTCTGCTTTGTCACAGTTGAACTCTCACATGGAGCCATTGATCTTCATCAGGCACCAGGGACCATTGTTCAGTATCTGAAGGTATTTTACCTGTAACCAAGGTTCTCCAAAGACCTTGCAACCATGATCCCACACTTCCAGTCTCTTGTCCATGAAACACTTGCTTCTGAATAGGTGTCAGTGAGAGACCAGGGCAGGGTCCTTGTGCCTTCAGTGCTATAGGTCCTACCCCTGTGTCCTGCTGTACCTCTGTCAGCAAATGCGATTCTGGCTGGGCTCTGTGTATGTGACTTTGCCCAGGGGTGTGATGCGTGGAAGAAATATTGTTCTGTGTATTGACATTACAGGTAAGCAGGCCTTGGGGGTAGGTTTTTCCCTCGCTTGGAAATCTCCTTTTCAATCATTGCTTTACTCACTCAGGTAAATACCCATGCAGTATTACCCTGCTTGGGAAATATGCAGTGGTTTCCTCCCTTGTTTTCACAGCTGTGGCCATCTCTACCACTCCCTCTGCCTGCTGAGTAAAGAATGTGGCCTGGAAACCCAAGGGCTGATGAGATGGACTTGCTACAAATGCAACTCCAGTAACAAAGCGGGGAAGCTATGTGAGAGCTTCTCAGAGTTGAAAAAAGGAAGCAGCACATCTCTGGCTCAGGTAAGCATCACAGGAGGGCTCCTCCCAGAGTGCAGACAGACTGAACTGGGTGTAGTGGTCTAGATTTGACTGATAAAGGGATGAGGAACTTCCTCTCCCATATCTGGAGCCCAGCTTCATTTCCTGAGAGTCCCTGTAAGAAAGGAGGCTGACTGCTAGGTAGAAATGTTTCTTGCTTCATCTGCTGTATCAGGGCATGGGTCTGGCCATCAGGAGCAGTTCCCCTGCGTTTAGATTTCAGCATCTTGTGCAGATTCCCTGTTGCAGACCTCAGAGAGAGACTGCCAGGTCCAAGCGCCACCTGCCCAGCAGATGGAATTTTTTAGCCCTTTCCAAGCTCCCTGAGCCTGAGCACTTTGTACTGGAGGGCAGTGCCATCAGCCTCATAAAAACAGTAACTTACTGACGATGGGTTTGTTTCATCACTGATTTCAGTTGGCAAAGAGCCTCTGAAGGAAGTCAGTGTATGGTGCAGCTCAGAAATAAACTGTCTGTATGCAAACTCCTACTTTGTCCTTGGCTTGATACTGTAAATTGCAAGTAAAAATAAATAATGGATGGCTTGCCAGGATGTTCCCTTTGAATAATGCATCTCTGAGAGCAGAGTTGTGCTGGTGAATGCTACAAAGGAAGCCGGGGTTGTGGGCTTTTCCCCTAAATGCATCAAGGTATGTTGTTCATTTGCTTTGCTTTAGAAAATAACACCCTCCACCCCTTGTGCGCGCACACACGCACGCGCACACACACACCCATTAATGCATTTCAGCTTCTAAAAGCAAAATAATTCAGTATTTGAGTACATTTTTACAGTGTTTTGCTCAAGTTTTTTTCCAGCAGATTACTTCACCTTCTACCAAATCAATTCTGATCAGAAGATAGCTAACTGCATTAGTCAACTTCCATCAGCTTCTGTAGGGGGAGGGAGGAGCAGGCAGGAAAAAGCTTCCCGCTAGGAGGCAAACTTTTTTGAGAAGTAATCTCTGAGGTGTGCATGGGAGCACAGTGATGCACAGTTGCATTAATCCTTTAATAGCAACAGAAAGGGAGACAACCCTAGCACTGAGTGTGGAGCAATTCTGAGCCCAAACCTTTTTATATATTATTTTTGAAAATGAAAAGTGAACAGCTCCTGCATATACTGCTTGTGATGGTGGCACAGTAGTGACCTCCAAGCTAAAGCAAACTCCCGATTTCCAATCTAAGCACTTTCTTTTATCCTGCTATGACTTTTATAAGGGATTGACATGACAACTGCTGTGGTGAAGACAGAGAGAGGGTTTTTTTCTGTAACTCTCAAAACTTAGAATATTAGAAATAGCCTCTTGATAATTAAAGTTACTTGACACTGTGACATTTTATCACAACGTCTCATGACTTTCTGGCCCCAATTTTCTTAGTGGATGATTAGTTAAATAAATAAAGCTCAGTGCTGCCTGCTTTAGTAGCCTCTAGACACTCAGGAATGGGTTGTTTTTCAGCCAGGATCTGAGGGAGGAAGCTACTGCCACTAGTCTGTGCCCCAAATTGCTTATGCTCTTAATACACCAGACAGACCCAGCATGGCCTAGCGAGTAGAACACAAAGGCCAAGTGACTGGCGTGATGGCTGCAAGCAGCCTACAAGTGCCGTGACTTTGGAGGAGTGGAGGGTATACTTGAAGGAAGGTGAGATGGGAGAGGGCAGGAGAGAAGAAAGTAAAGGAACAGGCATGGAGTGAAGCTGAGGGGAATAGACTCAGGGAAGGAAGGGAGAGGGTTAGAGCAAACAGTGACTCAACACAGGACTGTCCATTTCCCTACCTTCTGTGGCGCATGCTCTTTCAAGGGTGGTTCCTCTTTTGCCCAGGCTGGCTCCGGCCTGCTGGAGCCCTGAGAGTCCCCTCCAGCTCGTAGTGTCCCTTTCTTAAGTTTGTGATATTTATCCTTTAAATGTGTGGGAAGTGTGTAAACTGCTGCCCTTAAATCACACCTTGATAAAATTGCAAGAGGTAAAAAATAACAAAGCCAGCCATTAAACTTATGTCACCAAAAAGCCTCTTTTTAACTCCAGTATCATGGAGTTATCATGGGACATGTGGCTGGAAGAGTGTCCAGGGATAAAGATGGAGGTATAGAGATGGCTGGATGCAGAGGAACTATCTTGGTTACACTCCGAGGAGGCTGTCAGGCCTCTTGTCTCTGCATGCACTAGAGTTCAGCACATGAGGAACTGCTGCAGCTTCAGGTAAATGAGTAGACGCAGCAATGCAATAACCCTTATGGTGGTTTTGATAATATCGTATGTGATACCACGTGATTCCACTTGATTAGAAAAGCCAAGCTGGTTTGTTTCTGTTTGATCGTGCCCATGGAGGAGCACTGCAACTCTTTCAGCCAGCCTGTCTGGTACAGCCGTGAGGCTCAGCTGGCCTTGACTTCCTTTAATTGTAGCATTGGCTCTTCTCTCATGGTCTTTCACTTACTGACGGTCTTGAGAGAGAGTCTATTTTTTTTTTTGTGGGTAGTTTTTGGTATTCTGGTCTTGAAACACTTTTGTCTCTAATATCTGTATTCATTTTTGCTGCCATAGTTGGGTTCCTTTCTAAGGACATTTCTCTTCATCTGGATGTCCATTCTAGAACACCCTCATGTATTTTGTACTAGGGCTGGAATGTAGTTGTAACCTTGATGGTCCAAGGAATATGTGAGATGCGCCAAGTTTTTTGGTGATGCCTTTTATTGGACTGACTGTACGATTGGGTGAGATGTTAGACAAGTTTTCAGGTATGAAGTGTCTTTTCTCACGTGCAAAATTAATGTATTTTACCATTTTGCCATCCTGTGACACCTCTGATTAGTTGAGAGTTTGCCAAAATCTATTGGACTACAGGCCCCCTTGATCTCCTATAGCATGGTGCATTCAAAATCCTCCTGATCAGGAGACCAGTAATTGCATTAGCATAATTGTGCTTGTGTTGCTTATGACTTGCAGTCGTAGTGTCCAATGCCCAGCCCCTTCCGCTCAGAAATCTCACCTCATTAAGTTTGTTTAAAATCTTACAGTATTTATATATTTAAAAAAAATCAAATTCAGGAAATGAATGAAAGGCAACAATATTTGGCTGTCAGGCTTGAGTACAACATGCATCCCCTGCATTGGACCCTTGCAGATTACCAGCATCTGTCTTGGGATTCTCTGTCAGATAAGGAGAATTTTGGAAGAAAATTTGGTCATCTTCTGTCAGTGGAATATTTTTTTAAAGTAATCTCTCCCAAGGTTCAGAGATGGTGAAACATGAAACTAGGGACTGTAGATTTAAATAAAATGAATCTTTCCTGAAGGTTTTACGACTGATATTGTCATCCCAATCACT